ACTTAATACGGTGCTTAAAATCATTGTAATAGTTGACTTAATACGGTGCTTAAAATCATTGTAATGTTGACTTAATACGGTGCTTAAAATTATTGCAATAGTTGACTTAATACGGTGCTTTAAATCATTGTAATAGTTGACTTGATATGTCCTTAAAATTATTGCAATAGTAGACTTGATACGGTCCTTAAAATTATTGCAATTGTTGACTTAATACGGTGCTTAAAATTATTGCAATAGTTGACTTAAAAGTCCTTGAAATTATTGCAATAGTTGATAGTCCTTAAAATTATTGCAATAGTTGACTTAATACGGTGCTTAAAATTATTGCAATAGTTGACTTAATACGGTGCTTAAAATTATTACAATAGTTGACTTAATACGGTGCTTAAAATTATTGCAATAGTTGACTTAATACGGTGCTTAAAATTATTGCAATAGTTGACATAATACGGTGCTTAAAATTATTGCAATAGTTGACTTAATACGGTGCTTAAAATTATTGCAATAGTTGACTTAATACGGTGCTTACAATCATTGTAATAGTTGACTTAATACGGTGCTTAAAATCATTGTAATAGTTGACTTAATACGGTGCTTAAAATCATTGTAATAGTTGACTTAATACGGTGCTTAAAATCATTGTAATAGTTGACTTAATACGGTGCTTAAAATCATTGTAATAGTTGACTTAATACGGTGCTTACAATCATTGTAATAATTGACTTAATACGGTGCTTAAAATCGTTGTAATAGTTGACTTAATACGGTGCTTAAAATCATTGTAATAGTTGACTTAATACGGTGCTTAAAATCATTGTAATAGTTGACTTAATACGGTGCTTAAAATCATTGTAATAGTTGACTTAATACGGTGCTTAAAATCATTGTAATGTTGACTTAATACGGTGCTTAAAATCATTGTAATAGTTGACTTAATACGGTGCTTAAAATCATTGCAATAGTTGACTTAATACGGTGCTTAAAATCATTGTAATAGTTGACTTGATACGGTGCTTGTATTAAGTGACTTCACACGGTCGTTTAAATTATTGTATTAAGTGACTTAAAATTATTGCAATAGTTGACTTAATACGGTGCTTTAAATCATTGTAATAGTTGACTTGATATGTCCTTAAAATTATTGCAATATTTGACTTGATACGGTCCTTAAAATTATTGCAATTGTTGACTTAATACGGTGCTTAAAATTATTGCAATAGTTGACTTAAAAGTCCTTAAAATTATTGCAATAGTTGACTTAATACGGTGCTTAAAATTATTGCAATAGTTGACTTAATACGGTGCTTAAAATTATTGCAATAGTTGACTTAATACGGTGCTTAAAATTATTGTAATAGTTGACTTAATACGGTGCTTAAAATTATTGCAATAGTTGACATAATACGGTGCTTAAAATTATTGCAATAGTTGACTTAATACGGTGCTTAAAATTATTGCAATAGTTGACTTAATACGGTGCTTAAAATTATTGCAATAGTTGACTTAATACGGTGCTTAAAATTATTGCAATAGTTGACTTAATACGGTGCTTAAAATTATTGCAATAGTTGACATAATACGGTGCTTAAAATTATTGCAATAGTTGACTTAATACGGTGCTTAAAATTATTGCAATAGTTGACTTGATACGGTGCTTAAAATTATTGCAATAGTTGACATAATACGGTCCATAAAATTATTGCAAAAGTTGACTTGATACGGTGCTTACAATCATTGTATTAGTTGACTTGATATGTCCTTAAAATTATTGCAATAGTTGACTTGATAGGTCCTTAAAATTATTGCAATAGTTGACTTGATATGGTGCTTAAAATTATTGCAATAGTTGACTTGAAAGTCCTTGAAATTATTGCAATAGTTGATTTGACACCGTCCTTAAAAATATTGCAATAGTTGATAGTCCTTAAAATTATTGTATTAGTTGACTTGATACGGTCCTTACAATCATTGTATTAGTTGACTTGATACCGTCCTTAGAATTATTGCAATAGTTGACTTGATACGGTGCTTAGAATTATTGCAATAGTTGACTTGATATGCGTAAACATTGTAGCTAAACCATTACATTTAACCTTTATATTTATTTATATTAAAACGTGTTATCTCCTTATACATGTAAAATCGTTATAATTTTGTGTGGTTGATTGCTCTGTATTTTTATGTGATCTATGTGTGGTTCCATGATTAGTCTGTAATGAATGTGAATTATGTATGGTGCTCAGAGTTTTTTTCCAGGCATCTCTTGGAGGGGAGGGGGGAGAGGGGGGTAGTCTGCCCCCCCCCCTCAGAAATTAAATGGAATTTGTATAGAAAATATATACTTTTAACAGTGTCTGCCCCCCCCCCCCCCTGGAAATTTTAGTCCGCCCCCCCCCCCCCCCGAAAATTTAAAGTGCCCCCCCCCCCCCGGAGAAAAAAGTCTGGAAGAAACACTGATAGTACTTTATAGTAGTGCGCATTTATGTTATTTATATATGGTACTGTATTTTTGTGTACTGTTGTGTGTGAATTGTGTATGGTGCTGTATATATGTATGTATATGTATGTATATACCCACACGATGTCCCCAAAATTCCACCCTTGGAACTAACGTCTCTAGTCTGATCTGTGTAGGCCATCAACAGGGGTAAGGCGTGGATCAACGATCGAGACCAGAAGAGGTTAAGTTTTACAGACATTTGCCAGGAACTGGCGGCCGCCTCTGCGCAAGCTTCCCGGCGGCTGTCGGAGATTTACGGTAAAATGGTGGTCTTAGTGCATACACATATGTCGGAGATTTGAGATTTACGGTAAAGTGATGGTCTTAGTGCATAAACATCTGTCGGAGATTTACGGTAAAGTGATGGTCTTAGTGCATAAACATCTGTCGGAGATTTACGGTCAAATGATAGGCTTAACTTATGGAGGGATTGTTCGGAAATGTTCGGTAACGCGGGGTGTATGGCAGTGCGTGAACAGCTGTTCGGACTCTTTCGGTAACATGTTGGCCACTCCTTGGAGCACTAATGGCTGTTCGGAGACGACGGTAGCAGAAGGGCTTAGTACTATTGTTAGAAATAACATTATGCCATGCAGAACAAATGATTGGGTGTTCTATGAGGGCGTCCATTAAAGGTGACACACTTCTTCGTGGCGGGTGGGGGGGGGGGGGGGAGGAAAGGTGCGGAGAGGGGAGGGATAGGTAGGACTTATGGCGATGATGTATTACAGGGGTAGGGTCAATGGGGTTTCAGAAAGTGTGACGACACACTTCTGCGTTTAAAAAAAAGGTAGCGTTTAAAAATTGAGTTCATGCCGTTTATTTTGTCAAAATATAAATTGTAACAGAAATTAACCAATATAGAATTTTTTTTGAAAATTGTAATTGAAATCAACCAATATAGACATTTATTTTTGCAAATTGTTATAAAAATTAACTAAAATTGCCTATTGAATGCTGAACGACATAAATAAATAATAATAAAGGAATATGTGTTGATGTTGTAGTAGACTGATGTGTGACGTCAGTCTAAAGAAAGACGGGAAGTATAGGGGAGGGTTTTGGCATTTTGTGTGATGATGGGGAAAAGAGGATGATGGTAAAACTCGTGAGGTCGTTATAGATGGCATCTCTCCCCCTCCCAATCGGTAAATGTGTTTTTTCCGTATATTTTTGTAAAAAAAAAAAAGTTAGGAGTGGAGAGGCATATATGGAAAAAAAAATAATTTTCGAAGAGAATGAATCACACCATGATTCGAATGTTATTTTCCCTTAGAGTAAGCACGAAATGTTTTTCCCTCCAGATTCTAATGACAAGGAGTGTACGAACCAGACTGATGAGTCAACAGACACAGGATCTACCTCTACACCACCTGGTCTTAAATCTACCCATAGGACGTCTGGTCCTGCAGACAGTAGCAGATCTGTAGCACATACAGACAGACCTAACGAGGAAGTAGATCACAGTCTTATCTACCCTGGTACAGTTTAAATTAAAAACTTGTCTGAACAATCTGCCTGAAACAACGTCTGACGTTTTAAGTATCGATTTGATAAATAGTGCGGGTATGTTCAGTGGCGTAGACAGGGGGCGGTTAGGGGGGGGGTCATAACCCCCCCCCCCCATAGACCCGTCGGTATATAGAAAAAGTATGGGGGGTGCAAATCGAAAGTTTGAGGGTGGGGGGGTGCAAATCGAAAGTTTGAGGGGGGGGGGTGCAAATCGAAAGTTTGTCCCCTGGTAAAAATTGGAACCCCCCCCCCTTCAGACGATCCTGGCTACGCCACTAGGTATGTTTAAGGTTAAATCATATCAGAGTGCTGTTTATGATTTCGGTAAAAATCAAAGCATTGTGGTGTGTTATATTTGTAGGCTTTATTATGTTCGCCATAATTCAAAACAATGTCTCTAAGGGGTCATCCATAAATGACGTTACACTCGTAGGGGGGAGGGGGGGGGTCCGTAATTTTGTGAAGATGTGTGATGAGGGGGAGGGAGGGGGGGGGGGTCAGATGTTGCGACGTCACATTTTTGCATTATAAAAAAGCAATGTTAGAAAACGAATTTTAGACGTTATTTCGCGTTTTAGATAACTGTTTTAATAAATTGTAATAGTTTAGACAAGGTTTTGGAAAAATATCGATGTTTTTAAAAAATTCAACTGCAATTTTGAGGGAGGTTGTAGGTCGAGGTGTGACGTCATTTTAGGGGGGGGTCTGGCTTTTTGTGACGAAGTGTGACGGAGGGGAGGGGGGAGGTAAAAATCGTCAAAAAAAGCGTGACGTCATTTATGGATGACCCCTAATCGAGATTCAATGTTGTATTTCCATGCATACAAGTTAGAAAACACAATAGTGATTTTTTTTTTACTATTTTTCTAATATAAAGGGATATAAATTGTTTTTTTTTTGTTGTTGTTACTAGAATTGAAAGTGGCGCTAAAGCGGATAGAACTGGCAGAAGACGCCATTGCTGCAATAACAGAACGATCACGTGGTGTCGAGAGAAGACAGACGGAAATGGGAGACAGACTTGAGACCGTCTCCAACCTGATCACAGAGACGAACAGACAGCTGGACGTCAAGCACGCTCAGGTGTGTGAGGTCGTTGAACAATTTGAGCGGAGACTTCTGCAAGTCGACCAAAACGTGGACAACCTCTCTCGTGTTTGCAAGGAGGTTCGCCAAGGAAATGTAAAAACTAGCCACGGTGAAAACAATAATGGGAATGTTGATGCGGAACGAAATATGTTTTTAAAAATGGTTGAGTTGGAGAGTTTGGTTTTGCAGGAGAAAGCTGCGCTATCGGGGATGAAAGAGAGTTTAGAACTGCTGGAGACAGATGTTAAAGAGAATTCTAGTCTACTCTCTGATCTGCTTGCTAAGCAGCTTGGAAAAGACAATGTGGCTGGTCAGTTGGAGAAATGTTACGGGGAGGTGCGGGGTTTGTTTACAAGGTGTGATGAGATCGCCTCGAGTTTGAGAGAAATGGACAGCTCCGTGCAGGAGAAGTGTGGGCGTGTCCCGAGTGTGGAGGTGTGTCGGAGAATGGAGACGTTGGTGACGGAACTTCCGGTGCTGGTGGAGAAATGTCAAGGTGACTGCGGCAACGTGTGGAGGACGCTGTGTCAGGTGGAGGAGAACTCCACCAAGCTGGTGGATCATCTGACGCAACAGTACAAGGAGCTGGAGCTGAAGGTGGGTTTGTTTTCTTAGCTGAAGGTGGGTTTGTTTGGTGAGCTAAAGGTGGGTTTGTTTAGCTGAAGGTGGGTTTGTTTAGCTGAAGGTGGGTTTGTTTAGCTGAAAGTGGGTTTGTTTTCTTAGCTGAAGGTGGGTTTGTTTAGCTGAAGGTGGGTTTGTTTAGCTGGAGGTGGGTTTATTTGGTGAGCTAAAGGTGGGTTTGTTTGTTTAGCTGGAGGTGGGTTTGTTTAGCTAAAGGTGGGTTTGTTTAGCTAAAGGTGGGTTTGTTTAACTGAAGGTGGGTTTGTTTAGCTGATGGTGGGTTTGTTTAACTGAAGGTGGGTTTGTTTAGCTGATGGTGGGTTTGTTTAGCTGATGGTGGGTTTGTTTAGCTGAAGGTGGGTTTGTTTAGCTGAAGGTGGGTTTGTTTGTTTAGCTGAAGGTGGGTTTGTTTGTTTAGCTGAAGGTGGGTTTGTTTAGCTGATGGTGGGTTTGTTTAGCTAAATGTGGGTTTGTTTGTTTAGCTGAAGGTGGGTTTGTTTAGCTGATGGTGGGTTTGTTTAGCTGAAGGTGGGTTTGTTTGTTTAGCTGAAGGTGGGTTTGTTTGTTTAGCTGAAGGTGGGTTTGTTTAGCTGATGGTGGGTTTGTTTAGCTGAAGGTGGGTTTGTTTGTTTAGCTAAAGGTGGGTTTGTTTAGCTGATGGTGGGTTTGTTTAGCTGAAGGTGGGTTTGTTTGTTTAGCTGAAGGTGGGTTTGTTTAGCTGAAGGTGGATTTGTTTCTTGAGCTCAAGGTGGGTTTGTTTGTTGAGCTGAAGGTGGGTTTGTTTAGCTGAAGGTGGATTTGTTTCTTGAGCTCAAGGTGGGTTTGTTTGTTGAGCTGAAGGTGGATTTGTTTCTTGAGCTCAAGGTGGGTTTGTTTGTTTAGCTGAAGGTGGATTTGTTTGTTGAGCTAAAGGTGGGTTTGTTTGTTTAGCTGAAGGTGGATTTGTTTGTTGAGCTAAAGGTGGGTTTGTTTGTTTAGCTGAAGGTGGATTTGTTTGTTGAGCTAAAGGTGGGTTTGTTTGTTTAGCTAAATGTGTGTTTGTGTGTTTGTTTAGCTTGTGGTGGGTTTGATTGTTTAGGTACAACAGTACTGTGAACTAGAGCTTAAGCTGTGTTAGATGGTTTAGATTTTACAGTCAAATGTGGTCTTGTTTAAATATTACAGCTAAAGATGGCTTTGTTTAGTTTCACAGTTAAAATTTTAAAAGTGGGTTTCTTTAGATTTTACATTTGAATTTGTTTTTGTTTAGATATTATAGTTAGGCTTAGAAACGATGGAGATTCAAACGAATACTTTCATTATTTTATTTTATTAATTACAACAGATGACAATTAAATTTCAGATGAACGACATATCCAATAAACTACAAACAATAGGTAAGCTTTGATGATCCGTTATTAATTTTTTTACTCAATAAAAACACTGAGCAATGGCGTATTAGGAAGGCTTTGTGTGAGCAGTGTCCTATAAAATCAACCATATACTTCAGTGTGTTGTGCCTTGTTGTGAGCACTCAGTGCTATTGGGTACCTGGCATGATTTGGTGAAAACGTTGTATTGGACATATTATCCCATAATTTAATAACATAAACATACAATTCGTACTTTTAAATTTTGGTTAATTAAATCAGAGACGTAGCGAGGGGGGGGGGGGGTGCGGACCGCACCGGGTGACACCATTTAGGGGGCTGACACCAAGGCAAAAAATAGTAAAATATACGGAGAAAAATTTGAGGGGGGGGGGGGTGCAAATCGAAATTTTGAGGGGGGGGGGGGGTGCAAATCGAAAATTGAAAGTTTGTCCCGGGGAAGAGTCGCTACGCCTCTGGGTGGAGGTGACACCATTAGGTGCCGCACCGGGTGACACCCGACCTCGCTACGCCACTGAATTAAATTGATACTTTCTTGTAGATAAGTAAGATTTTTTTCTTTTAGAGCAGTCCCATAACACCAAGAGAGTCGCCTTCACTGGCTACTTATCAGAAGGAAACAAATACAAACTTGGCTCAACTTTCGACAACTACGCACCGGTATGGTGCGAACATTTTAACTCCAAAACTGGCGAGTTCACCGCCCCAGCAGACGGTCTTTACCTGACCAGTGTCACGTTTGGTGAAAGTGAGGCGGGCAGGTTGGAGGTTGGCATTTACAAGAAGACGGTCAATGACGTCACGGAGAGGAAAGTACACTTTGTTGAGGCCAGCATGGCTTGGACGAGTGCGTGCACCGTGTGCGCGGTAGAGATGAGTGCAGGGGACAAACTGTACCTCAAGTTTGAGAAATCGGGAAAGACCGTTCAGTTTAGTGGGAATTCTAATTTCACTTGTATAAAACTGTAGATGCTAAGTATGTTTCTAGCAGGATATTTTTGTGTAAGCCTACATGTCAAGTACATTTCTAGCAGGATATTTTGGTTTATTTTTTTATTTTTTAAACATCTTTTTTGTAATTAGGGGTTGTGCACATATCAAATAAAACAAACATGGGATATTTTCGACTCACCCTTACTCCCATAAAATAAATAACCATTGTTATAGACCATACGTATTTTTATACGATTTAGGGCCACAAACACACAATGTAAACAGAATTTGGGCCTAAAAAAATTATGGTAATCATAATATTTTAGAGAAAAATGTGTGTTTAATCTTCATACGAAAGTTATAAAGATATATTTTATTTTAAATAATGACAAACACATTTTGTCTACTTATTCACCCAATCATTCTAAATGACAAAACAAATCACAAAAGAAAATTAACATGAACGTCATCTTCTAATTGAAAGTTATTTTGGCTACACCACTGCCCAACCCACATAACATAATATGTTTGAATTGCAATATAGTTGAGGCAAAATAATTATGTATGTCTGTTTAGGTTTATGAGTGGATGTTTATAAATTTTGTTTTTAAGTGATGAATATTATGTCTGTATATCCAATCAATAGATATTCTAATAGTAACCGGTTCACACAGTTGTTTTCTTTTTTTATTTTGTGAGCCAGACACTTTTCTTGAGACCACGTTTACACGTACAGGGAACATGACATTTTGATGGTGACGTCAAACTATTATTTACGACCTTGAACTTAACTGGACACTACACTAGATTAATCAGTTGTGTTTAAAATCTTACGGCGGAATTTTTAAATGTTTTATATACTTAAATAATTACGAATCTTTGTTTCAATGATAGTGATGACCTTAATTAAAAGTACTAATTATAGTTAGCCGTTAGGTCTTAAGACACATGGGGCAGAACATTTAGAGTGCGTGTTTCAATGACCTCGGCATACAGCAGGATAGTGTGGTCAGCTTTATGCCCAGCCGCCTGAGCATCCTTTTAACGTGAGTCAGGTGAACATGCACAGTGTTTCTTCCACTTTACTCTCCGGGGCGGGGGGGGGGGACACTCTTGATATTTTCGGGGAAGGGAGCGGACAAAATTTTCCGGGGGGGGGGGGGGGGGGGGGGGCGGACGCTGTTGAAAGTATGGAAGAAACTCTGCACATACATGTCAGAGCTGAGAGAACTCAGGGACGTCCTACAGACTCAACCCCATGAGTTCTACCATCTGACTACAGCAGTCCCATAAACGTATCACATAGGTCGCTTAAAACCCAATGAGAAAATGTCCCGAGTTGAGAAGTGTAAAGTATAGTTCCCTTTCAAACCTGACGGTCTACGGGGTAAGTGAAGTAGAGTTTCTGTGACCTCGGCATATGAAGGGATAGTGTGGTCAGCACTATGCCCAGCCGCCTTTACTTTCCCTAACGTGAGTTAGGTACCCATCAGAGCTGGGTGGACTCAGGGACGGTCTACCGACTAGAACCCGGATTCGAACTCGAATGGGACGCGGTAGAGAGCTGGACTGCTAACCCGTAAGTCTTGAGCTGAGAAGTGATGGCTGGCGAAAAAATTCAATCATCACTGAGGAAAATTCAAATTTCGGTTTATTTTTTTCATACCTACAAAAAGTAGGCCATCCCCTGATCACCCCCTCCCCACCCCCTAGAATTGGGTCGTCATACAGGACGACCCTTATATTATACACTACACTATAAAACAAGCCTATTTTTCTAATAGCCGCGGGGCCTACCCGACAGCTGGGGGTAGGGCAGGGGTGGAATGGGCCGCCAGGGACAAAATCCCGGTGGGCCGCTAGGATCAATGCTGTAATTAAGCCTGTTAGTGTTTCAGACATTTATTTGAAAGGAGGTCATCCACACATAAATGACGTCACGCTTTTTTGACGTTTTTCACCTCCCCCTCCCCTCCGTCACACATCGTCACAAAAAGCCAGACCCCCCCTTTAAAATGACAACCTCAGCCCCACAACCCCCCTCAAAATTGCAGTTGAATTTTTCTTAAAATTCTATATTTATTCCAAAGTCTTGTTTGAGCTCTGTCAACATGGATTATTTTAATCAATTCCTGTTTTCTAAAGCGCGAAAAAAACGGCTAAAATTCATTTTCTAACATTGTTTTTTGATAATGCAAAATTGTGACGTCACACCATCTGAACCCCCCTCCCCCTCATCACACACCGTCACAAAACTACAGACCCCCCCCCCCCTCCCCCCTACGAGTGTAACGTCCTTTATGAACTACCCCTTTAAATTTGTGACTAACTCTATCGGAAAAATCCACAAATAGGCCCCAGATTCTGTGTGTCTTAAAAACCTGAACATCTAAATTTTAAAATAAAAACAACTTGTTTTAAACTGTAAAATAAAATTGTAATTTGAATAATAAATGTACCTATTCCATGCTCTATATTGCTATAACAAATATGCTGTGATTAGTATCAAGATTAAATAAGGCCTTCGCGTATTATTAAAAACCTTTTAAAATGTATGCATAGTTTCGTTTATTTTCATTGGCTCATTTAAATTAAGTTATTTTTAGTCTTGCTGAAAATCCGTAGGCCTAGTCTAGCCAATCTGCTGAATCTAGGCCACACTACTATCAGACCACACGTTTGTTGTGTTTGTACTCGACACCAGTTTGAACCCACCAGGAATGATAACAACCAGCTTCGGAAGTTGAACTACACTTGGTGCTTTCTAGAATCTAGATCTAGATCTAGATCTAGACTATAAATAAAGGTTGTTCATAACTCATATAATAGCGGGATAATAAAATAAATTCATATTGTATTAAAAACTTGCTGATCGAGGATAGGCTATTTAAAAAATAACAAATGATGGAAAATACCCCACGTTTTATCGTCTGCCATCCACATGGCATCGATCTGTTGCATGGTCATGGTGATGGTCACTGGTGTTGTCAGTCACTCAGTGACCAAGTGTTGTCAGTTGTGTTAGCTGTTTTAGTATTGATTGTGTTAGAATCTAGTAGTTAGGTTGTAGGGAAGTGTTTAGTGCAGATCTTGATTTAGAATCTAGATTCTAAATCTAGAATGGTAAGTCAAGCAGGACGTTTTTTTTCTGGATGATCTAGCCATTCTAGAATTAGATATCTAGATCAGCTAGACATTCTAGAATGAATTAGAACTAGATTTCTAGATCTACCCTATACTAGATCTATATATTGCCCTATAATTATTTATATTACAATAGGCCTAGTATTTATAGTACTATATCTACTAGGCCATAGGCTTCTTAAAATAAATATTGTAGATCTATCTAATCATAAACTAACATAAACATAGTCACACTTACCCTTAGGACGCCTTAGGTCTAGATCTAGGTAGGTGTACTTATTAATACAAATCTTATAGGCTTATAGTTAATTCTTGACTAGGCCCTATAGGCCTATGGCCTATAGTTAACTACAGGGCAGGGTCACTGTCTCAATTTAGGAGTCATTGGTTGTAGACTTAAAATAATTGTGGGAGCCGCTCCACAGAGTCGAGTATGAAAATACAAGTAAAAGAATATTAAATATTATTAAAAGGATTAAAGATCTAAACTTTCTCATATAGGCCTATTCATTAGGGCCTACTATATTTTGGGAAAGCATTTCCAGTGCAGTCAGGCAATAGACTATAGGCCTACTTGATATGATAGGCAAGTTAGTGTCTAAACCATTTTTTAAAAATAAACACATGACATAGGCCTAGCAGTAGATCTAGCCTATGAAACAAAAGTTATGAATATGAGAATTAGATCTAGAATATACAGCTTTAATAGAATATGATAGAGCTATAGGCCTAGGCTACATTAAATGTATCAAATCCTGAACGTTTTTTTTTTTTTGAGACATTGGAAATAACTTATCAAGTTACCAAAAATCTCTTAAAGTTTTAGAGGAATCTATCCAATGGAATGAATGTTTAATCTATTCTATTGCTTGTAATCGCTGTTCCTTTCAGGCACCTCTTGGGGGAGGGGGAAGCAGGTCTACTGCCCCCTGAACAAAATAAAATTTATAGGCCTATAGAAAATGTATACTTTTACAAGTAACCCCCCCCCCCCCAGTAGAAAAAAAGGCTGAAATAAACACTGTTCGTAACTTGTTTCCCCCCCCCCCCCCCCCCGTGTTTCTTCCAGACTTTTTTCTCCGGGGGACACACACTTGAAATTTTCGGGGAAGGGGGGGGGGGGCGGTAGACTTTCTTCGGGGGGGGGGGGGTGGACACTGCTAAAAGTATATATTTTCTATATAAATTATATAAATTTCATTTCGTTCGGGGGGGGGGGGCAGTAAACATTTTTCGGGGGGGGGGGGCTTAGCCTGGAAGAAACTTTGCCCCCCCCCCCCCCCCCCCATTTGGAGAAAAAAGTCTGGAATAAACACTGGTATGTGTACTCCATGAGACCATTGAACTGTAGCATATTTTGACAATACAATTCTTATCACCATTTCAACATATTTTTGTCTTGATATTACACTCAAATTTTCATAGACAAAATGAGCATTTATGTTAAGGTGTTTGTCTATTGAATATGCCTATATTAATAAAACTGCTTAGTTCATCCAAAAATTAAAATAGGTACAACTGATAGCAGTATCTAATCCTTAGATTAGGATTATGTCAAATATAAGATTAAAGTTAGGTTAGGTGTTTATTAAAAGTAATGTTATCTGTAAAAGTAATAATTCACTTATGGGTAGTAAGACAAAGCTTATCAACCAAAGTATGTTAATCTTGTGATACTTCACTCATTGTCTGAACAAAGTCTTCAAATATGCTGGTTTGAGTAAATAAACTCTTTTTAATAAATTGCAGTGTTTGTGTTCAATCCACCATAACAAGAGTTGATTGTAGAAAAGGAATAGTTGGTAAAGCACTCACAAAAAAAGTTGACCTTCCTCACTGTCTAGCATATTACCACAGTGGTTTGCAATCATCTAAATAATGTTTTCATGTTTTTTAACTTAATTAAAAGTAAAACAGAGATTGTAATGACTGTTTACTTATTGGTTTATGGTTTAAGCATGTCTGCCTTAATATAAACAAAAGTGAACTCTAAATTTTAATTACTAATCACCAGCACTCCCTCCCCCCAAAGTGACATCAGTGGTGGTGAAATAATTTTATAGGGGTATACTATATTCTAAGATAAGGTCTTATTTGATATCGTATAGATGTATAGTCTTTTCAGATTATTTAGATCAAATTCATGTGAGAGAATATTAAAACATATGTTGTATATTTGAGGTGATGAATAGCCCTCATGATACCTGTCAAGTGGTGTTGTTAAGAATTAAAAAGCTAGTACTCTTATGTTTAAGTAAGTGAAGAAATAATTGTAATCCTGTACTATATTGTTGTTTGTTAGATGAGGCCCCCGAGGCAAGCATCAACTGTGAAACAACATTTGGACTGTTTGGAGCATCAAGTTTCTGTTTTAACTTCTCTAATCACACAGCTCAACTATGTAAGTAGCATTGTTTTAAATGTCAAGGTATTTGGTGATGTGAAAAGTTTCATCATAAAACACACAAAACAAAATTTATATTGTTGTACAGGTGATTGAGGAAGGCAAGGCTTGGCTAGATGAGAAAGAGTCAAACAGTTCAAGCTTCGTGCAAATAGTTCAACAGCTGGATGGGGCTATGACAGCAGCATTCAGCAGATACCTTGAAATATTGAGTAAATACTTTCTTCTTTGATAAAATATTCATAGTGAATGTTGTGGATGTTTCTTTTCTTGTTGGCTAAGAAAATTTGATGGATGATGATACAAAAATAAGTAATGAATGCTAGCATGAGTATTGAAATATTTAAAATGTGATCTGCAGAGGGTTTTGCTTGCGTGCCTGATATGGATTGTTTCAAGAGTGTCTCAATAGATTCTTATGATTGAGCACACTTGTATAAAAAATGGGAGAGTGGCAATCACAATTTTTTTTTAATAATTATCAGTTTGGTTGTTTTTTTTTTTTCTAATTAAAAAATTATTAAATTAATAAACAAACAAAAGAAGCATTTAAATTGTCACCTTTGATTAAGTTGAAAACTGTGCAATGGCTTTATGTTTAAAGATTCATGATGGATGTCTTTGCATTATTAAAAAGCTAAAGAATAATGAGTAAAATCTACTTCTGTTTTAGGTGAAAATAATGTTGAACCTTCACTTTCTAAATGTTTTAACGACAATGAGAAACCAACCAAAATTTTAAGTGACCCTGTGGAATCCACCAGCACAATTACTAAACCTGTGAATGAAAGCAATCAAGACATGAATGGTAAAGTTTTGCTGTGTTATAACATTAGAAATCTCTGTAGTGTGATGATTCTTTTCACTTGTTTAGTATTTCAATGCCAGTTAAGACCAGGACTTCAGATGTTTCTGATATCTTGCCCATACTTACATTGATTGCTGTAATGTGATAGAGAAGTATTCTAGCTGTTTAGAGGACTGCCATTGATTTCTATGACTATGGCATAAAGCTAAGTACCAATTATAACGGGATAGACCTATAGGTGGCCATCCAATGACATGTGTGCCTGGGATCTTACTTTAACTTAGCCATTGAGCGCTGGACCTCACCATGTTCTAACACTACCTCTTGATTTTAATTTAACTACCCAGTGAATTATTTTCAAACCTTAGAAACAAAAAAAACATAATTGTATTCTGCAAGTAGTAACAGATAGTTATTTTAATATTGGCAATTAAATGTTGATCATCTGTCTTTATGAAAATGTCAGAAATGTAGTTTTTTTGTTTTACTTTCTCGCATATAGAGAGAATATTATAATTGTGCGCAAAAATTAAATGAAATTTTGACAATTATTCTTTTTTTAATGCATCCTCACATCATCATATGCGGAATTTAACAGATGCATTTTAAAAACATTTCTTAAGCCTGATTGCACTGAAAGTGCTTCCCCCTTACTGTTATATTAGAATATCCCTTAAAGTTTAGGGGAAATCACTCCCGTTTTATTTTCAACTGTTAAGGATGATGTTTCGGTGATTTCCTGCTTTACAAAACTTAATGCATTGCTCATGGTAAATAAACTCATGCTCCGTTTAACATTTCATATTTGTGTAGACCAACTTCAGTTGTTACAAAAAAGATTCAACCTGGCAGAGGAGGCAGTTATCTCCCTGCTCAAGGGCTCTAAACAAGTGGAGAAACTGGAAAAACAGATGAAAAAAGTCACAAACACCCTGAGTGAGAACCACAAACAAATAGAAGCCATCAACACTAAACTGTCTGAGCACTCGGATCTTGCACAGCATATTATGGACCAAGAGAAAGCCATGCAGGGTTTTGTTGAGGTTGTGGAGAACTTGAAACTTTCTAACTTGAAGAACTGTGGACAGTTAGATGATATAAGTAATGAGGTGTCACAGACACAAGGGCAGCTAACTGAGACCAGGAGACAGATGGAGGACCTGAGGACAGCGGTGCAGGACATAGATAACACGGTCATCAGCTTGACCATTGAACAGAACAACCAGGGGCTTGTGTTGAAGGTGGACAATCTGACCAATGAAATTAATTTCCTAGCCTCGCATAGCAATGAGTTGGCGCAATCACTTCGGGCCAAGTGTACATATTTTGAGGATAATTTGAAATTAAATGTGAGTATATTTTCTGTTAATAATAGAGTAATATTTTTATAATGTAGAAACACAAATATTGTGCACTGTATGCTAGTTCCTACTCATTAAAAATAAAACTAAATGAAAACTAGCATTTTTTTTTATCTTCATCATAGATGATTTGAAAATAGGCTTTAGAGTTGTGTAATTATTGTTACAGCAAGGCAAGAATGGAAAATATAGATAATCCAGTGATATTTTGTGTCTGCTTATTTAATATTATTACTATCTATCTTTTAATACAATTTAGGAAATATTTTTTTACTGTACTCAGAATTTCTGATTAAAACACATTAGTTTGCTAAGAATTAGGCATAAACTTCCCATATGCTAATTGATAAGCATCTCACATCTAATGTGTTGTTTAGTTCATATTTTAGTATGATTATTAATTTGTAGTACTGTACCTGTGTTTACTGTGTTACACAACAAATTATGATTTCTCATTAGATATAGGTATATTTTTTTTATAAAAGTTTTTTTTTATTCCATAAGCTTGTTGTATCACTGAGTGACTGTATTTGTGACCAAAATATTGTTGCGTCAGTGTATTAGTAGGTAATCTTTCTTTTCATTGACTTTTATTTCTAATTGCAGTTTGATAAGATTGTGAAAAAAATTCAGCAGTTGGGTAAGTTTGAATGCCTACTTAATTTTTTATTTTTTCACTCTTGTGATATAGATTAAAATAATGGATAGATTCAGACATGAAAGTACTGTTGAGTCTAGGGAAATGAAATGATGTTCACTCTAGTGACTTATTAAGAAAACAGGGGGTATGAAAATAAGTTGAAATTAATGCAGTAAAAGATAAAGCCTAACTGTTAAAATTGATTTAATTAACAAATGTTTAAAAAAGTATGTTAAATTAGCATATTTTACTATATTTAAATAAAAAAATTTTTAAGTTTAGTTGGTAGTGAACATGCTTTAATTCTAATTATACTAGGTTTAGTGCTTTAGAATAGTTCTTCATATTTTAAGCCTAATCAACTGATTGCTAGCTAAGTAAATAAAACAGTCCCTCATGTACTTGACCTATCACTGAGACAAGTTTTCTTATTGCAGAGATCCTGTGTGTCTCCAGGCCCGTGGCCTTCACTGCCCACCTGGACCTCACAAAGCCTCTGATAGCTGGGACTGTCGTAAAAAACTACTGCCGCGTCTCCTGTAACAACGGCAACTGTTTCCACCCTGACTCTGGGGTCTTCACGGTGCCGGAGGGGGGCCTGTACCTGCTGGGTATCTCCATTGATGAGAAGGTGGCCATAGGGGTGGTCAGAGAACGGCCAACCAACAACGACACAGAGTGGATCTGCCAGGTCAACGGCCAGGCTGGGTACTCGAGCGCGTGTAATGTGTGTAGCGTCAACTTAAACCCCGGGGACAAGATTTATCTCAAGGTGGTGTTTGTTGATCAGAATATTTGTTCATTGTCGCATTACTCGTGTTTCACGTGTGTTAAGTTGTGAGTGGTGTCAATGTTTCACATGTGTTAAGTTGTGAGTGGTGTCAATGTTTCACATGTGTTAAGTTGTGAGTGGTGTCAATGTTTCACATGTGTTAAGTTGTGAGTGGTGTCAATGTTTCACATGTGTTAAGTTGTGGGTGGTATCAATGTGTCAAATATATCAAGATGTGAGAGGTTTCAATGTTTGTTTCACATGTATTAAGGTGTGAGAGGTAGCAGAACTGTTGTTTCACGTGTATATTAAGTTGTGAGATCTCATATTTGTTTCAAATGTATTTTAAGTTGTGAGTGTAAGTACCATGTGAAACATGTATGAATCAAATGGAGCTACCAGTGAATTTAATCATCAGAGCTACCAGAATGACAATTTTGTTTATATCAATATGCCAGGTTTACAGGAAACATTTTTTTTTAATTTGGTGCATTTATCTGTAAATAGTGTAAGATAAACATTTTTCACCAAAACATAACGTTTATAAAATTGTCAAATGAATACATTTTTAATTTAATACATCTAAACTACTAAAACTTCTAACTTTAGTTCTTAATTAGTTTGGTTTGATTTAAAACAATGGAGGCGCATTTGACTCGTTGGTTTCAACAACTATTGTTGACTTGAACAAAAAAACTGGGTTATTTTTAGATTTTGCTTTCAAAGATGCAATAAAACTTAATAAATAGAACAACTGAAAATAATTCAGAAATTAATGAAAGTTGCGAATCCAAAGAACTTGAAAATAATTTTTTGAGTTTACGGCTACTTTTTTTTCATCAACCCTAAGTAATAACCCAGAAGTTTTCCTTTTGTAAGACAAACATTATTGGCTGTACAGGAACCGTGATCAATATTCTCAAACCCCACTTCATAAATAACTCAAAACAATTTGTTCTTATACAATTTGTGCTGATACAATTTTTATGTAAAATTAATTTTTTTAAACTTCATGGTCTAGTTCAGCTGGTTTTCCGATATTTTGTATGATTAAAAGTAAACAACCAAATTTTTTTTACCTTTTTCTAAAAATTGTGTTTTAGTTACAGAAAATACTTATACATTTTTGTTTTAGTTACAAAAAATACTCTTGCATCAAAAGCTTTCAGTCTTATGTAAACTTGTCAAAAATCAAGTAATCTGGTTATTATAGCCATATTTATTTTAAAACATTGCACCAAAGTTTTAAAATATTTTATACAATATTAAGACTATTCACGCCCGCCTCAACTATAAATAACCAACATTTGCACATGTACAGGTAGTTCCATTTTTGAATGTGGTGGGATTAAATGATCTAATTTTCTGTGTGCGAGAAAATTTCCTTTTTTATGTTTATAAAAAGTGCAAGAAAATTTCCCTTTTTTTGTTTATAAAAAGTGCAATATAATTCTGATTATGGCTTGGGTTTTGACCTCAAAGGGTCTCTACTGATATTTACGGTTGATCAACTCAGTCTGTTCAAGATTGTTCTATTCTTATTGGTTGTTTTAGTCATGTGTCCTCTGCAGTTACCTCTTCTATTGTGTCTATTTCTAAACTATGGACTAACCGTTTGTATCTGTGAGAGTTCTTCTATTGTTACATCTAATGACACAGTTTCAGTGCCTTACCTGTTGATAGTGGTTATGATGCTGTGGTGGGGTTAATTTCTTTCTTCCTGTTTGTAAATCTACAGATGTTTTCTGTTGATGGAAGTAGTGTATACAAGGCTGCCACCTGCCCAGTTCCACTAATTTTTATGCTGTCTTTTTTATGAAGTTAAGCTGAATATAGTATGAATTCTGATTTTACTGTAGGTTTTATTTGTGCTGGTGTTTTTCATGATCTGGCTCATGCATTTTAGAGGTACCAATTCTAAAAGAGACTGATTTTTTTTCTTAGAATAATATACTCTAAAATTTTTCTGATTTCTCCCCAATGTGCTTTGTCTTCACTAAGCTTGTTTGCATTTTTTAACTGAGGTGTAATCATGTCAGAACTAGGCTTATTCTGATGTTGGAGGTAAGAATGGGTTACCCATACTGTTGATTATTGTTGTAAGTTCTGCTTTCATTGTTTAAGTTTTGTTCAGGAGTAATTCTAAATCTTAAGATATTTTAGTTGATCATTCACAGGCCCTATAGGGCAATCAAAAGAGCTTCCAAATTGTTTCACATCTATCAATGCATAACCTAGTTCTTATGTCTAAAGAGAAATATGTGGTTGTTGTTGCATATTTTTAATGTTAACTTTATGTTGCCTTTAGAATATATATGAAAACTTTGAAACTAATTAATTCTACAACTGTAAATTTACTGATTGGTGCTATGCCTTTTTGTGATTTATGTTATTCCCCTTATTTCTCTGTTCCCCAATAATCATATAATTATATGTGGCAACTGATCTCCCTTGTACAATCTCAGCCATCTATCAGATGTGAAGCAGCTGAAATGTACACTTTGTTTTATCCCTGTGACTTGGAAATGGATATTAATGATATTAAATATTTTTTTTATTGTACAATTTTTTGAAAGCAGAGATGCAAATTTTTTTTCCTCTTTTTTTTTCATGTAAAGAAAATTTTACCACAGACAATTTTAAAAATATGATCTGGATTTTTAAAAAATCCCTTAAAAATCCTAGTTAATTAAAGTTGTAAGGAGATATTCTGTGCTATACCTATATTTCCATAACTGGAAAAATCTCCTTACATTTTCAAGTGTCAGGTTACATCTCTATTGAATGTAATTGCTTTATACTTTTATACAATTCAATGGTGTCTACTCTAGAAGAGTTATGTGGTATATCGAGATAGCTGAGTTACGTTGACCTTTTTATTTGCATACGGGTTATTGTAAACTGTTAAGTTTATACATATCTCTCATTATTTTCTTGTATTGAGCTACGTGTGTATTGTTTGCTTGTAAGCTGAGAGATATTGTATTTACTTTGGATTATAGTTTTACTTCACAATTTTTTACTTATTGTATAGTTTTTCTAATTTTGCTAATAAAAATTGTCAAGAACTGATTTCGTTTTCTCATTAGAGTTTGGTGATCTTCTTAGGGTATGTTTGTTATGTTGTCCTTGGTTTTTTTTAGCCACAGTCTTGACTAAATGTTATTGTCTTGATAAAAGAAGTAATGCATACATGAATAGACCAAACAAATATTTAAAACTACAATGATGAAAAACATGATGTATTAAATTAACATCATGCAAATACTTGTTTTTTAATTCTAAAATAATTAATCTGGATTTGGAATGAATGTCTTTAGAAATTTTTCCTGTTTTTATTTAACCTTTCACTACATAAACTCTATTAATAAAAAAAGTCTGGTGTTATAAAAAAAAGCTAGTCAATTAATAAGAAGTGACATTAATTTATTATCAACTGCATACAGGTTGTAAGTAGACATCAAATATCAAATTTTACTTGCCTCCTTTGTCGCAAAAGCTTGTACTAATTCCTTCAACTCCAATTTGCAAGCATAATCACATTCAGTGTTTCTTCCAGACATTTTTCCGGGGGGGGGGGGGGTGGCAGACTAAAAGTGGGGGGGGGGGTGGTCGGACACTGTTTATATATTTTCTATATATATATATAAATTCCATTTCGTTCGGGGGGGGGGGTAGACTTTCTTCGGGAAAGCTCTCCCCCCACCCCCCGAAGAGATGCCTGGCAGAAAAAGAAACTGATAATATTCTATTGTAATTGTTGCTAATTCAAAGAGAAAAAATTCAAGTGCCCCCCCCCCCCACCCCCCTCGTGAGAAAAAAGTCTGGGGAAAAAAGAACCCTGAGAAGAAAAACCCACATATTGCTAAAAAAACCTACCAAACTATTTTGTTTAGAATTTCTGCTCTGTATAATTTTGTACAATAGCAAATAATAACTTAGTTTCATTTAGAAGTATGCGGTCAACCTAAGGTGCATACATTTGAAATGAAAGTAAAGTTTAACAACGAATTATCTCCCATTTATATCAAATACCAAAATTTTATTCAAGGGAAATGACTTTCTCAAGAATAGATAAATTAACCAAGTGTTACTAAGACTTGGTTGAAAAACACAATAAAAAGTTTTAAATTTCATTACTTAAAAATTATAACAAATATTTTATACTAGTTATGTAGCTGTATCGAATGAATATATTTTACTCATTGACTATTTACTGTGGGTTTAATTTGAAAGTCTGAACACGGTAGCTTTATTATACATTCTTCTAGTCAATTTTGATGACATACAATTTATTGCAGTTATTATCCATCCTATTGCATTAGTTATTATTGCACAACATTTTTTGATCCGTTAAATAGAGGGACGCCTCTCGAAAAAAATCTAATACGGGTAACTCAAGACATTGCTATAATTATTGATTATTATATTTAAAAAATATAATTTGAAAAAAAACTAAGTTTACGGTTAGTTATAAGATTTTAAGTTATAAGATTTGTCAGCTAGAGAACGCCTACCTTTCTTTGTAGTGTGCACCGTCCTGAATTGAAATAATCTAACTTACGATAAACTCGACTACTTGATATACTCTACTACATTCAAAACACATCAAACTTCGATACCTAAACATAACTAGACTCGATGCTCCAGAACTACGACACCGCCTCAACTAACTTCACCAAGCTCTACAAACGATACTCCCAATCAGAGTTTCTTCCAGGCATCTCTTCGGAGTGGCTCCGCCCCCCCCCCCCCCCCAGAAAAAAGTCTACCTCCCCACTGAACGAAATGGAATTTATATAGAAAATATATACATTTAACAATGTGGTGTCCCCCCCCCCTAAAGAAAGTCTACCGCCCTCCCCCGAAAATTTCAAGTGACCCCCCCCCCCCGAGAAAAAAGTCTGGAAGAAACACTGCTGCCAATCAACAACGATTTAACAGGACCTATTGCTATACGTTAACAGTCAACACAATTCGATACCTTGATACCACAGGACTCGATAGTCCTGAACTCCAGAACTACGATACCTCATCACCTACATTCTCATTTCTCTATTACCAATCAGATTCCACTAGACCTTCAACTACACAACAGCCAAATGAAATTATCGACACTTTAACACTTCGACAACTTTTACCTACGAAACCATATCAGCAACAGCCTTCCACTGTTACTCCCAAATCTAAACGATTCATCAAAACTTACCAAACAATTACAATACTTTGAACATCTCGTCATTACAAAACTGTCTCCACCAGAACAGATTTCTAATTCAAAGTCAGAGAAAGCGAGACTTACAAGCAGTAGCGTAGAGAGGTGGGGGGGGGGGCGGGGGGGGGGGGACGACATATGTCCCCCGCCTTAGGGGGCGCCAAAACGGGTTGGAAAAATAAAAATGAAAGCTTGAGGGGGGTGCAAATCAAAAGTTTGAGGGGGGGGGGGTGCAAATCCAATCGAAAGTTTGAGGGGGGGGGGTGCAAATCGAAATCTTGACCGGGGGGTACAAATCGAAAGTTTGTCCCCGGGCGCCGGGAAGGGTCGCTACGCCTCTGCTTACAACCCCTATTAAAAACAAAATTGCACGTGTTTTGTAACGCCTTCACGCGCTGGAGCGATCACTAAATCAACATTAAAATTAAATAACCGTTTGAAATATTCGAAATTTAAATTACGAACTTATTTAATCGTTTTCTACATCAATTATGTGACACCAAACTAAAAAGGCAAAGTGACTGATAAAAAGTGCCCCGACTTTTCCAAATTAGGGAGGTGGGGTTGTATTCTCACCATCGCAAATAAATATAGGCCTATATAGACCTAATTTTGGGGTGGGGTGCAAAATTAATAGTTCGTCCTGAGTGCCGAAATAGACCGCTACTCCTTTATAAAAGTTATTAATTATTAGGTACTTTTTGATAATATCGATTAAACCTTTTACGCCCACCTAGGGATGCCCCCCCTAGGCGACCGCCTAGTTCGCCTAGTAGGTAGCGCCGGCCCTGATGCCATGGTTAGGGGTTGGGGGGGGGGGGGAGTACCAAATGCACCTTTCACAGAACAAACAATGTATTACCTAACAGATCAGAAAGAAAACGACAACAAACGAAGTGGTTTGGATGACACCATATTTGAAAATCATTCGATGCTTTGACGTGACTACTAAGTAGCTTATCAATTATTAAGTCTGAATCAAGCATGTTATTAACAACAGCCTCCAAATGTGAGAGCACGTGTGGGGGTGGGGTAACACCCGTAAAACTCTAGTTGTAAATTTAAATGTGCACGTTGGCTTCAGTAATTTCGACCCACGTTAGTGTTTGTATTGTTTTGTTATGCATGATTTATCATGTAGTAAGTGTTCTAGGTTTTTAACGGAATCATTTAAGTCACTTAATCAGTGTGTGTCTGTGTTATGTTAATTGTTTCGTATTTTTAGCTAATTATTTATTTCTTTGATTTGTCACTAATATCGTTCAGCGTATAGTAAAGCACATTGAGTTTTGACCAATAACTATTTCATAAATTATTTTTCTCAAACAAGTACAACATTTAAAAATATATAGGCCTGTAATGCAGGGGCGTAGCGAGGGGAGAGGGGCGGGGGGTGCGGACCGCACCGGGTGACACCATTTAGGGGGGTGACACCAAGGCAAAAAATAGCAAAATATATAGAGAAAAACTTGAGGGGGTGCAAATCGAAAGTTATAAGGGGGGGGGGGTGCAAATTGAAAGTTTGAGGGGGAATGCAAATCGAAAGTTTGAGAGGGGGGGGGTGCAAATCGAAAATTTGAAAGTTTGTCCCCGGGAAGGGTCACTACGCCTCTGGGGGGTGACATTATTTAGTGCCGCACCGGGTGACACCCGACCTCGCTACGCCACTGCTATAATGCACGTGGAACGCGTACCGATAGCTATTTATATTATAATTAATAACAACATCTCAATAATAATTTTTAAATCTTCTCTAATTCTTTCTCATTCCCAAAGTAATTAATTAGGCGAACACATTTTCTTCGTTTTTTTTTTTTGCTCATAACAAGGATTTCTAACACATCCTTTTTATGTTTCTTTGTTAACATTACAAGAAATACCGGACTGCAAATACTGTAGGGACATATTGTGAAGTTGTTCGATATATAATGGAGGGTGGAGGGGGGAGGGGGGGGGGTGATAAATAGAACTCTTGTACATCAGTGTTTCTTCCAGACTTTTATCTCCGGGGGCACTTGAAATTTTCGGGGGGGGGGGGGGCGGTAGACTTTCTTCGGGGGGGCGGGGGGGCGGACACTGTTAAAAAAATATATTTTCTATATAAATTATATAAATTTAATTTCGTTTGGTTTTTGCCCCCCCCCCCCCCCCCCCCCCCCGAAGAGATGACTGGAATAAACTCTGTTGTACATTGACGCACGTTCTTGACAAAAATAAAAATAAACACAGCATCAATTTTTTTCTACGTTTTAATTATTTTATTTAATATTTGAGCTCTATTCTAAAAAAAGAGGTTAGTCTATTTACCGTTTTGTAGCCTACCTCTATCTTAGCGATATTTAACCCTTATTCCCCCACCCCCTCCTAGACGATCCAGTTTCCCGTATGAAGACGGTCTCTCAGCTGCACACCACAAACCAATATCCCATTACGTCCACCCCACCTTATATCTGGGTGGTCCGTACCCTCGTCAATAAATACGCTAATGAATACAAACATTAAATAATCTATTCCCATGCTCATATTGGAAGATCTGTCAAAGGTGTTATCGAAAATTGATATTATAGATGGAACCTAATAGAACCTAATAGTAATGTGAATACCAAATGAATACATCATGAAAGCTAACAGTAACATCGACATTATTGCATCTATCGGTGTCCGTTGTACATAGAAATATGCTCACTATAAAGGCCTATTCTTGTACAATTTTACTAAAATTAAAGACGTTTACATATTATATAAGTTAATAAAGCTAATATTTTAAAATTCAAACTAGAGACAAATAATAATTCTAAATGTTGGGGATTGAAGAGGACTATTGAAAATTACAATTGTACACTTTGCACATTGATGCATCATAATATTGGCCATTTCTGTTACTTATCACGCCTCACTAGCAGTAGTCAGCGCCTTCCCAGTGAGGGCTGAGTCTCACCCTAGGGAGGGCTGAGTCTCACCCTAGGGAGGGCTGAGTCTCACCCTAGGGAGGGCTGAGTCTCACCCTAGGGAGGGCTGAGTCTCACCCTAGGGAGGGCTGAGTCTCATCCAGGTAGAGTTTCTAAATGAGCAACAGTGGTGAAGGTATTAAATATTTACTACTTAAAATTAATTTTGGATATACATATATCAATGTAGTATCCATAATTTAATATCGAAATCTTCTTTCAATTTTTTTATACTTCTGCGTTTCAACCCCCCCCCCCCCCCCCCAACTCCACTCCAATTTTCATTTTTGATCGGTGTACTGGTTTTTAGAATTTTTAATTAAATCGTAACAAATTCTTCTTAAAAATTGTTTTAGGATAGCTGAACTACATAAATCGTATTACACTACACATTAAAATAAGATTCTTTGTATTATTTAACACAAAGAGGACTAAAAATACCAAACATACACACTTATAACACGAAAGAACATTGAGTCTGGATGTTTCAGTTTCAAAATGTTTATTTCATAAAACACACCTTGCCTGAACACACCGCCAGTCTAGTCAGATTCCTGGGGGATAAAATCAAATCAGAACCAACAGCTGGTAGGCCTACACATTATGGAAATTGTTTGTGTTTTGTGTGGGAGTAAGGTGGGAGGCAATTTAATCTAGGCAGTGTTTCTTTCAGACTTTTTTCTCCAGGGGCGGGGGGGGGGGGGGGGCACTTAAAACTTTCGGGGGGCGGGGGGCGGACAAAAAAATTTAGGGGGGTGGGGCGGACACTGGTAATAGTCTATATTTGCTGTTTAAATTCTATTTTGTTCGGGGAGGGGGGGGGAGGAGATGTGCCCCCCGAAGAGGGGTGTTTCAAATAGGAAGCTACTACATACGCACACACACATACACTAACACAAACACGCACATTATGTTTTTTTCAGCTCTGTGACATTCAACTGATTGAATGGTAAGCCATGAATGCTAAACCAAACGCACTATCGCCAGTAATTTTCACGAGAGGCATGGGATAGATTCTAACCCCTCCACCCCCCCTCCTCCACCCCCCTCCCACCTCCTTGCACCACCATCCTCCTGACTTCGACATTATAACGGATTATTCAAATCTCAACGGATCTCGTGAACGCGTGCAGCTGTTAAGAAAAAAAAAATCAAGATTTTTTATGTCAGGTCTTGGTGATGCAATGTGGACTAAATACATTTTAAAAAGCTGTAATTTTCTTAGGTGAGACCCTGGATTAGGACAGCGTCAGGCCTTTCGAGTGTGGGGAACATCAAACGAAATAAGAAGCTACAAACTTTAAAGACAAAATACATGTTTGTGAACTTGGACTAGGAACTAACTAGGTAACAATGCTGGACGGTGCGGTTAGATCAAATGCTTAAATTGTCGGACGTCCAAGAATCCAGTTAAAGCTGTACTTTCACTGCACAGTGTTTCTTCCAGACTATTTTCTCCGGGGGGCGAGGGGGGGGGGGCACTTGAAATTTTCAAGGGGGCGGTAGACTTTCTACGGGGGGGGGGGGGGGGCGAACACTGAAAAAGTATATATTTTCTATATAAATTTCATTTCGTTCGGGGGGGGGGGGGGGGGGAGACTTTCTTCGGGGTGAGGGGGGGGGGGGGGGGGCTCGGGGATGCCCGGAAGAAACTCTGTCACTGCAGATGTCGAGGTCAGAGAAGCATGGACTCTACTTCATCTGCAGCATAGACAATCTGGTCTGAAACGATATTATTTGTAGTTTAATTTATTGCAAAGTACCGCCCAACATCTGAGGTGGGGGTTGCGGAGGTGGAGGGGGGGATACCTTAAGCTACTTAATCGGTGTTTCTTGAGAGGGACGCTACAAATGTCGAGGGAGGGGACGCTTAATTTCAGGGGGGGGGGGATGTGGTTGTTGGACAATGGTTAAAGTATATATTTTTATATACATATGTTTTTCGTTCGGGGGTGGGGTGGACGTGATTTGGAGTAGCATTGCACCCCTGAAGTGATGCGCGAAAGTAACTGTACCCACCAAGTAATCTCAGAACTAGCACCACGCTAACACAAGCGGTAAAGCACACATAGATAAAATACCTACTGGAGATGGTAAAGTTGATCTGGGTTGTCGCATCAAACGGAGTTACTTACTTTCACGCATGCGCTTTTGTCGCAGACTGGGTTGCCATGGCGACAGCGACATCGGCCGCACTCGTCAGGTGTTGGCTGGCCGCTGGCATATTTTTTACCGTCAATGACGCAAGCGGCGCCTCCTGGAACAAGAAAAGTACGGCGTCATTTTGACTGGTGTTTAGCATTGAGGCTTTCTCTGATAACTGTAGGTCTATACATTCTTTAAAGTGATGCTTCGGTGTGTATTTGTTGTGCTGGTCTGAACATTTTTAGTAGCTAGCCACATTTGTAAACATGTTTCCACATCGGATTCAGTGGTCAAGGGGTCGTCCTTAAATGACGTCACACTCGTAGGGGGCAGGGGGGGGTCCGTAATTTTGTGACGGTGTGTGATGAGGGGGAGGGGGGGGGGGGGTTCAGATTGTGTGACGTCACACTTTTGCATTTTAAAGCAGCAATGTTAGAAAACAAGTTTTAGCAGTTATTTCGCGTTTTAGAAAACGGTTTAAATAAATTGTAATAGGAATTGATCAACATACTCTATGTTGACAGAGTTCCGACAAGATTTTGGAAAAATATCGATGTTTTAAGAAAAATTCAACAGCAGTTTTGAGAGAGTTGTACGCTGAGGTGTGAAGTCATTTTAGGGATGGGGGGTTCTGGCTTTTTGTGACGACGTGTGACGGAGGGGAAAGAGGGAGGTAAAAAGCGTCAAAAAAGCATGACGTCATTTATGGATGACCCCTAATAGGACAGATGAAATAGAGTTCACCTGTTTCTATATGAAATATGAATGGATAGTGTGGTCAGTTCTCTGTGCATTCGCCTTTACTTTGCCTTACCTGAATCAGGTACTCGTGAGCACTGGATGGACTCGGACATGACCGACGGACAGGAGTCCGCGATCCGAACTCGAGACTTTCATGTTAGAAGTTCAGCGCGCTATCGCCCGGCCACGCAGTGCCTGATTTACGTGCTAGCTAAACAAGCTGTAGTTTATAATAATTTAATCAGCATGAAATAATGCAAGCCGAGTTGCATAGGAATATGTCGGTATGTTTTAAAGTACAGTAAGCTATGCGTTATAGATTTTTTTAGCTACATGTAATAAGTATACTGTAAAACTAATTTTGTTACATGGCAAAATATAAAATTTATACTGTAAAACTTCTTTTGTTGCAGGGGAAAATCAAATTTATACTTTAAAACTACTTTGTTGCATGGCACAATGTAAAATATATACTGTAAAACCAATTTAGTTGCAAGGCAAAAAAAATGCATACTGTAAATCTACTATGCTACATGACAAAAATAAAATGTATACTGTAAAACTGTACCTTTTGCATGACAAAAAAAAAATGTATACTGTAAAACAACTTTGCTGCATGACAAAAAAAAAATAAAATGTATACTGTAAAACTGTACTTTTGCATGAAAAAAAAAATAAAACGTATACTGTAAAACTGTACTTTGCTGCATGACAAAAAATAAAACGTATACTGTAAAACTGTACTTTGCTGCATGACAAAAAATAAAACGTATACTGTAAAACTGTACTTTGCTGCATGACAAAAAAATAAAACGTATACTGTAAAACTACTTTTTGCATGACAAAAAAATAAAACGTATACTGTAAAACTGTACTTTTTGCATGACAAAAAATAAAACGTATACTGTAAAACTGTACTTTGCAGCATGACAAAAAATAAAACGTATACTGTAAAACTGTACTTTTTGCATGACAAAAAATAAAACGTATACTGTAAAACTGTACTTTGCAGCATGACAAAAAATAAAACTTATACTGTAAAACTGTACTTTTTGCATGACAAAAAAATAAAACTTATTATACTGTAAAACTGTACTTTTGTTGCATGGCTTGTCCTCGCAGACCTCCTTTCCATTGAAACACTTGCACCTGTTGCAGGTGTCCATGGTGAAGTGGCCGTGACGCACAGCAATGTCGCCAAAGATGCACATCCGGTTGACCTCATCGTCTGCGGGGACTGGGGAGTTTGTGAACATCACGTGACACGTAATATGATGTATGTTGTACTAAACTTATAGTCTGTGATCATGTGATCTGATGCAGTGGCGTAGCGAGGTCGGGTATCACCCGGTGCGGCACTTAATGGTGTAACCCCCGCCCCCCCCCCCCCCCCCAGTGGCATAGACACCCAGGGACAAACTTTCAAATTTTCGATTTGCACCCCCCCCCTCCAACTTTCGATTTGCACTCCCCCCCCCCCTCAAACTTTCGATTTGCACCCCCCCCCGAGTTTTTCTCTATATATTTTGCTATTTTTTGCCTTGGTGTCACCCCCCTAAATGGTGTCACCCGGTGCGGTCCGCTACCCCCGCCCCCCCCCTCGCTACGCCCCTGATCTGATGTATGCTGTACTAAAATTTACTGGGGTTTGTGTGCTTGTATATTTAGTGATTTATTTATGTCGGCCCTATTTGTCCATATTTCGAGAAAACCAAATCTACAGCACGCAAACAGTGTTTCTTCCAGACTTTTTTCTCCGGGGGGGGCACTGGAAATCTTCGGGGGGGCGGTAAACTTTCTTCGGGGGGGCGGACACTGTTAAAAGTATATATTTTCTATATAAATTATATAAATTTCATTTCGTTCGGGGGGGCGGTAAAAATTTTTCGGGGGGGCTTCGCCCCCCCGAAGAGATGCCTGGAAGAAACTCTGCACGCAAAGCTTACACAGTTCGTATTTACGTTGGAGAAAATTTTAATGTTACCGAATATTATACAAAGATGGTAATAAATTGTCAATTCTTTTCTAAACTATAAACATCTTTTCAAATACTTTTTGACTACTTTCACTGTTAGATAAAGCTGCGTTCAGAAATAAATAATTTATTATTCTAAATATGTAACTCGCGTTTTGAAAGAAGTTTAAAATACAATCTGTTTTTTAACTTAACATTTGTAATACTTATCATAATCACGTGATGTTATTTGTAACAAATATACTATATAAATGGTATAAATATGTACCATATACATGAAGAATAATGTGCACAAACAACATAATATATTATATTGTTTACATTTTTGCTGAATTAAAAACCATAAAGTAACTTTCTTTTTGGTAACAATTTCGTACAAAATATCCACACGTAAACCTGTATTTTAAAGCAGTTCGACACAGAACGTTTATACAAGAACACATGTAAGTGTTGTAATAGAATTCGTTCTGCATATCCTTTCTCAATTATTTTCTCTAAACATGCTTAGCTCGCAGTTTATAATCAAGTTATTTCTCCCACTGTGTTGCTGTATTGCTGTGTGTTGTAATATTTTATGTGTAGTTTTATGTGAGAAAAGTTGACTTTTTATGTGTAGTTTTATGTGAGAAAAGTTGACTTACGTGCTACAGTTAACACCGTGAGACAAGATGCCAGATACAAGAGAACAAGAGACTTCATTCTGTTAGCACGTCAATTTCACGACTAGACGATAACGAGGCTGGGCAGATGAGAAGGTAGGTGTCGCCACCTGTGTATATCGTTGTCTGCTGTCCAGCTGGTGCACTAACGAGCGCATCAAGTTGTTTGTTTGATGTCTGGGGATTATCATGGGATTAACATAATTACCCCTGCTCGTCAATGTTTGTCAGGTTTATCTTGGTTTTTACCGGATTCAGCTTTCACCTAATGTAATTAATTTTTTTTGTGTGCTTATATATGTTTCCTTTTCGAACGTGTCGGTCCATGTAGCAAGTGGAGTAGAGTTCACCTGTTTCTGTGACCTAGGCAAATGAAGAGTTAGTGTGGACAGCACAATGCCTAGTCTCCTTTGTTTTCCCTTACGTGAGTCAGGTACCCATCAGAACACGGATTCGAACTCGAGACTTTTGGATTAGCAGTTTAGTGCTCTTTTGAAACTTGACATAATAAACTGAATTCTCTAAAACTGTACCGTGAAATTCTTTGTGTGCATCTTTCAAACAATCTTTAAACTATGTTTTTTTTTACTGCTGAGTTGCGATTTTGTTTGATAATTCTCAGGCAATGACCAGTTATGTTTGTCCCGTGGTTTAAGTCAATATTTATTTATTGTCTACGATCACTAAACTATTAGGAAGCGTGCTCATATTTAGTAAAGTTCCCTTTTTGAACCTGACGGTCAATGGGGCAACTGAAGTGTAGTTTACCTGCTTCTGTGACCTCGGCATGAAGGGTAGTGTAGTCAGCACTATGCCCAGCCGCCTTTACATAACGGACGTTCTACTGACTTGAACCCACATTCGAAATCGATACTTTCCGGTTAGCAGTCTAGCGCTCTACCCCTTGGCCACTTCGTCCCACATTTGCACTAATTTATTTTAAAAAATTTATCAGACCCACTTTTATCCTAAAGAACATTTTTTATCTTTCCACAGATTACCTTATAATTTAAAATACATCTAGCTGCAAATTGTGTCAACATATACATCCAACTACCCTGAACGGCACAAAGTTAACGGATAAAAATACAACTCAGAATATCATGGTGTGTTGGGGGATGGTGTGGTCTGGTAAGACAGCACGTGATTGTTAACTCCAAAGGTCATGAGATCAGACCCAGGAACAGAGGATGGTTATTTGGGGGCAGTAACTCATCTAGGTGAGACAACTCCAAAAGTTAACTACTGCTGCCGGGCAGATTGTAGTTGGTTGGACAAATGTTATAGAAGCACATCTAGAAAAAAGTATGGTGAAGTTGGAGTCAACGGCGAATAACACGCTAGCAATTATTGTGTTGTAGGAAATCCCTCCAATATTTTCTTTAAGAATGAGAAAGGAGAAGAAAGGCTGTGTTGGTAACGTTGCAATACATACTACGCCTTCCACACGCAATTCAATAAAGACACCACCCTTGACTTAATTATTATCGTTAAATAACATTATACCTAAATCTGGGTATGTAGGTGTCACATTATAATACAACTGTTTTGTTGACGTGGTTTCTATGTTGAAAATCTAACCTGCATCGAATGCTGACATCACAGAATGCATATGTTAATTGGTTCACATTTACATAATCCCGTAAAGTTGCCGTACACGAGACTTTAAGAAATCAATGGACGAGGCTGTAGGTGCATGTTGGCAGGTCAACGAGAGTTTGGATTTTCTTGAGTTTCTAATTGAGTTGTGTAAATAGTTGTCATCTGAGTTGTGTATATAGTGGTCATCTTAGTTATGTATATAGTTGTCATGAGTTTTGTATATAGTTGTCATGAGGTGTGTATAGATTTGTCATCTGAGTTGTGTAAATAGTTGTCATCTGAGTTGTGTATATAGTTGTCATCTGAGTTGTGTATATAGTTGTCATGAGTTGTGTATATAGTTGTCACCTGAGTTGTGTATACAGCTGTCATCTGAGTTGTGTATATAGTTGTCACCTGAGTTGTGTATATAGTCGTCATTTGAGTTGTTTATATAGTCGTCATTTGAGTTGTGTATATAGTCGTCATCTGAGTTGTGTATATAGTCGTCATTTGAGTTGTTTATATAGTCGTCATCTGAGTTGTGTATATATTTGTCATCTGAGTTGTGTATATATTTGTCATCTGAGTTGTGTATATTATAGTTGTCATGAGTTTTGTATATTGTTGTCATCAGAGTTGTGTATTATGTGAGTGTGCACTTATAAAGTACTACCAAAGGAGAAGGTGTTGGTTCACAATTTTATTATATCGTGTTACATTGGGTAGATCGGTGTTAGAGAACAAATATTATGTACTACTTTTTTTTAGTACTAAAAATACCTTCACCATTTTAGGTTGATTGGAAAAATTATCAAAATCCAATTTTGCTGTGGTTTGTGTGTGTGTGTGTGTGTGTGTGTGTGTCAGTCGAGGAGTGTGTGTGTGTGTGTGAAAGATTGTTGTCTATATAAATGTTACCTCCTGTTATATTGGGTCGGGTTCTACACAGTGTGTAACCAAGGTTTCTTTCAGGCTTCTTTTCTACCGCTGCCCCCCACCCCCCCCCCCACCCTGGACGAAATAGAATTTATATATTAAACCTATACGTTCACCAGTGTCCGACCCCCCCCCCTCCCCGGAAAATTAAGTTCTTTCCCCGATAATTTAAAGTGCCCCCACCTCCCCCGGAGAAAAAAGTCTCAAAGAAACTCTGAGTGTAGCATCCTCGTTGACATACTAGTTGTTTTATTTTTCAAGATGATTTTCCCCCATCAGTGTAGCGTGCGAAAGCGATTTTTTTCTTCATTTGTAATTTTAATAATTATGTTTTTACGTTATCAATTCAACTAAACCCGATTTACGTCTTAGAAAATTTTTTTTGACGCTCAAAAAATAAAAATTTGACAAAGAAAAAAGAACAAGTCAATATGTTAAAGTTTTATTTCATTGGTCTTCCCATTGTATAGACTTACGAAATCAATCATCGTTCTTTGATCGACCTCTTGACGGCTTTTGATTGAGAATTTCGGATCGTTTAGGTTGGGGATATCGTCTTTGATCTTCTGATCTTCCTTGAGGTTTGCGTTTGTCATCTTTTGATCTTTCTTGAGAAGACCGGCTGTTATCTTCTGATCTTCCACGGTTTTGGTTTTTTAATTGTCCATTTTGAGGATAACGGAATGTACCTTGTGTAGTTACCTGGAAAAAAATGATTATTCTACTTGACACGTTCTTTTAAAAGTATTGTGTTGTTTTAAAAAGTTCAATTTATAATGTACATAAGCTTATTTTATAATTAAATTTTATAGTTATGTAAGAGGTGTATAGCTGTAAGCTTCTAGCAACCACGCAGTGGCGTAGCGAGGTCGGGTGTCACCCGGTGCGGCACTTAATGGTGTTACCCCCCCATAGGCGTAGCGACCCTTCCCGGGGACAAAGTTTCGAATTTTCGATTTGCACCCCCTCCCCTCAAATTTTCGATTTGCACCGCCCCCCCCCCCTCAAGTTTTTCTCTCTATATTTTCCTATTTGTTGCCTTGGTGTCACCCCCCTAATTGGTGTCACCCGGTGCGGTCAGCACCCCGCCCCCCCCCCCTCGCTACGCCTCTGGGCCACCCCATTGTACGCTGCTGTTAGCCACCCAGTGTATGCTGCAGGCAACTATCAAAAGGTAACATGTTAGCGAGTACCCTGTAATAAAACTGTGTTCTGGGTTTGTGACTGAAACATTACAAGTCTACGGCCACAAGTTTACTTTGTTCTGGGTTTGTGACTGAAACATTACAAGTCTACGGCCACAAGTTTACTTTGTTCTGGGTTTGTGATTGAAACATTACAAGTCTACGGCCACAAGTTTACTTTGTTCTGGGTTTGTGACTGAAACATTACAAGTCTACGGCCACAAGTTTAATTTGTTCTGGGTTTGTGACTGAAACATTACAAGTCTAAGGCCACAAGTTTACCTTTCGTTGTGTGGTGACGACGTCAGCAGCCGGTGGAGCTGTATCTTTTGGTTTAGCTTCGGTAGCTGGAGCTGCAGTAGTTAAACCAACATCAGCAGCCGGTGGTGCATTATTTGAGGGAACATCAGCAGCCGGTGGTGCATTATTTGAGTCAACATCAGCAGCCGGTGCTGCATTATTTAAGGGAACATCAGCAGCCGGTGGTGCATTATTTGAGGCAACATCAGCAGCCGGTGCTGCATTATTTGAGGCAACATCAGCAGCCGGTAGTGCATCATTTGAGCCAACATCAGCAGCCGGTGGTGCATCATTTGAGCCAACCTCAGCAGCCGGTGGTGCATTATTTGAGTCAACATCAGCAGCCGGTGGTGCATTATTTGAGTCAACATCAGCAGCCGGTGGTGCATTATTTGAACCAGCATCTGAGACCGATTCTGTATCATTTGAAGAAACATCTAAGGCCGATGCCGCATCATTTGAGCTGAGATCTAAGGCCGATATTGTATCATTTGATTCGGTACTGAGAACTGTGTCTGTATTGTTTGAGGCAGAATCAGCTAGAAAAAATATGTAAATCGTATGCATTATTTAGAAGATTATATACAAAAATAGTGTGTGCTAGATCAGCAAAAAATTGTAACATGTTTTTAACCCATATCTTGGACATTCAATAATCAGATCGATATTTTATGAGCTAAACACGTGACCCGGGGCGTCAGTGAGTTCGCCTAGCTCTAATAAGGACCTGGCGCAGGTTAGGGAATGTAAAGGCGGCTACTTATAAAACTGACCGGCATTCCATTTAGATGCCCTAATAGTCACAGTGGTGAACTAATTTTTAATTAGCTTAATGAAGTGTTTTCCCTCAAGTTTTTCTGATATTTATTAACGCTTTATTCAGAACAATACTGTCTCTTTCTATCTCGCCCTATTTCTCTCTGCCTCTCTGTCTCTCATTCTCTATATCTCCTCATGCTCCCTCGCTTTATTTCTTTCTGTCTATGCCTCTCCTTCTCTCTGTCTCACTCTGTCTCACTCGGTCTCTTTCTCACTGTCTGTCTCTCTCTCACCTCTCATCTCTTAGTCTCTCTCTCACTCTCTCTCTCTGACTCTCAATCTCTCTCACTGTCTTTTTTGACTCTCTGTCTCTCTCTGACTCTCTACCTCTCTCTGACTCTCTGTCTCTCACTCTTTCTCACTCTCTCTCACTCTCTGTCTCTCTCTCACTCTTTCTCACTCTCTCTCTCACTCTATTTCTGTCTCTCACTCTCAATCTCTCTCACTCTCAATCTCTCTCACTCTGTCTCACTCTCGCTCTCTGTCCCTCTGTCCCTCTGTCATTCTCTCACTCTCTCTATCTCTCTCTCACTATCAGTCGCACTCTCAATCTCTCTATCTCTCTCTCACTCTCTGTATCCCTGTCTCTCTCTCTCACTCTCTGTTTCTCTCTCACACTATGTCTCTCTCTCACACACTCACACTCTCTCTCTCACAGTCTCTCTCTCTCTTACTCTCTGTCTCTCTCGCTCTCATTCTCTGTGTGTATGTGTGTGTGCAGTAACACAACAGATGAAAAAAATATCTCTCACGTACAACAATTTTCTTTGCATAAACCGCCTACACACTCTCACGTCGATGAAACCTCCATGTGCTTCAGATAACGTTCATTCGGTCATTGACGATCATCGACTGTCATCTACTGTCATCGACTGTCATCGTCTGTCATCGACTGTCATCGACTGTCATCGACACGCCTACATCTAACGAGCCTAAAAAATGTGACCAGACAATGAACCTTTGTCTAAAAAATCTACCCGACGCCACAAAACCGCCCAGAAGCTGAGTTTCTTTCAGTTATCTCTTCAGTGAGGTGGGGGTAGGGCTGGAGCACATCCACAATTCCTTCCCCACCCTCCATTGGATGAAATAGAAAAACTACAACATGCGAATAGAAGATATGTACTTTTACCAGTGACGGATCCTTGGAAATTTAGCGCCCCCCCCCTCCCCCACACGGAAGTTTCAAGTGCCCCGCCACACACACACACACACACACACACACACACACACACACACACACACACACACACACACACCGGGGTGATTTTGTGTGTGTATTTACACACACAAAATCACCCCGGGAATTTTTTTTTTAAAAGCAACCCTGGATAAAATGCAATAAAAAACGCACACAGAAAACTCACCGATGTCAAATTTTTCTAACAACTGACCTGTGTTGTCCTGTGCAGCCACAACCCCTGCAAGCATCACCACCACAAGTTGCACCACCACAAGCATCACCACCACAAGAAGCTTCATGTTCTCTTGTCTGACAGTCTACAAAACTCAACGTCTCTGAGAGTGTGTTGCAGGCAGAGCATCGTGTGACGCTTTCTTATAGCCAGTGACTTGAAGGCGAACGTGTGAGCAACGGAGCGGGAAATGGGTCTTAGTTTTTTTAATTAAAATTTGATTGAAATTATCATAATAACATCGAAATAATGGAAAAGTTAGTAGTGTTTTTTCTTAAGAATTGTAAAATACATTTTCGTATTTGTTAGCTATGTAGTGACGTAACATGTCTTTGCACATGTGTAAAACTAAAACTGTATTGAGTTATTACTTTCTCGATTATTAAGCCGCAAGCGGAAGTATTTTAATCGTGCAAACAATAAAAAGAGTTAATAATTTAAGAATTTTTGGTTGATTAGAAGAGTTTTTAAAATGTAAACAATTTCTGCCGTACATTTCTTGAATCTTTCTTGTTAGGGCACAGTTTTGTCCCGTCCCCAGGGGTTTAGGGGTCATCCATAAATGACGTCACACTCGTAGGGGGGAGGGGGGGGGGTCCGTAATTTTGTGACGATGTGTGATGAGGGGGAGGGGGGGGGGGGTCAGATGTTGCGACGTCACATTTTTGCATTATAAAAAATTATGTTAGAAAACGAATTTTAGACGTTATTTCGCGTTTTAGATAACTGTTTTAATAAATTGTAATAGTTTAGACAAGATTTTGGAAAAATATCAATGTTTAAAAAAATTCAACTGCAATTTTGAGGGGGGTTGTAGGTTGAGGTGTGACGTCATTTTAGGGGGGGGGGGTCTGGCTTTTTGTGACGAAGTGTGACGGAGGGGAGGGGGGGAGGTAAAAATCGTCAAAAAAAGCGTGACGTCATTTATGGATGACCCCTTACTGTATGAAAACTTTCTAGCACCTAATGCTACTGGCGATTAAAAGAATTTGTAGTAATACATAAACATAAAGAAACAGACATCTGCCTATACCTCTTCCAACACGGGACAGCGTTTAAGGTGAAATGACAAGGTAAGCGTCGAAGAACTCCTATGGTGCAGTTTGAATGGTACAAAGTTTATTTCCATTATTGTTTTGCTTTTTAAACAATCAAATTTTTATTTTAAAAAACCCACGGACCTCATCTAGGTGAAAATATTTGAGAATTTAAAACAATAATTTAATACTTTTCTAGGTGGCTTCTGTATTGTTTCTTTTTTCAAATAAAATGCTTTATTCTAATACTAAGTAAACAGCAATACAGAATTGCAGGTAGTAAATTAAGGCCTTACTGATATTTTTCTCTATTGTGACACTTTGTACATTTTTGTACACATGCCATAATTTGTGTCATAATTAGCATAAAACTTGGTCGATAGAGTTTAAATTTGCTATACGATATTAGGACACACACTACATCATTTTCCATACATATGATAATTTTTTGAACAAAATCCTGAGGTTGTGTCGGAAAGGAATATTTTAATTCACTGGGGTTTGTGTAGCTGTCCTTAGTTCTAGATTTACATATCTACATAAAGCATATAAAGCTCACAGTTATGTAAAGGAAAAGGAATGAGACCGAATTTTATTCCTAGTAAGAACACGAATAAGAGAAGTTTTATTTTATTTTTTCAGTTCATTTCACAAGCTACATTGTCCTCCCCCCCCCCCCCCTAAAAAAAATTGGCCTCTAAAAACTCCACCCACCCAGCCCTAAGGGGTCATCCATAAATGACGTCACGCTTTTTTGACGATTTTTACCTCCCCCACATCGTCACAAAAAGTCAGACCCCCCATAAAATGACGTCACACCTCAGCCACACACCCCCCCCCCCCTTAAAATTGCGTTGAAATTTTCTTAAAACATCGATATTTTCCTAAAATTGTGTCTGAACTCTGTCGAAATAGAGTATTTTAATCAACTCCTATTGTAATTTATTAAAATAGTTTTCTAAAACGCGATATAACTACAAAAATTATGTTTTCTAACATTGCTTTTATATAATGCAAAATTGTGAAGATGCACCATCTGACCGCCCCCCCCCACCTCCCCCTCATCACACACCGTCATAAAATTACGGACCCCCCCCTCTCCCCCCTACGAGTGTACGACCCCTAAGGAACAACGACACAGTGTAGTACGACCTACAAGAAAACGGTCTATTTGGCATATGAAGTAGACTTCATCTGTTTTAGTGACCTGGAAATATGAAGGGATAGTGAAGTAAGCATTTTGCCCAGACGCCTCTACTTTCCCTAACGTGAGTCATCAGGTACCCAACATTAGAAACACATTTGCGAAGTTTTTATTTTTCGGTTAAAAGAATAAATTGTGGTCCTTATTTACAGACGTGAAAAAAAACTACGTTGTATGCAAAAAATATCTGTAGTAACATTAATTCCATTATAACGTAATATAACAAAACGTTTAACCACCCCTTCCCCATATCGTGTCACATAATGGACATTCCCTTACAAAATATTTGAATTGTATGTTTAACAGTGTGAATAAAATTGAAACGTTAAAATAAACGAAACGAAATTGAAAACCATAAAATACTGTGTGAACTTGTGTCGCGACTGATTGCAAAATTCTAGTTTGAATAAACTTTCAAAGGACAAGGTGTTGTTATATGGTCACATCAGAATAATTAACGGTAATTAAGGTCTGCTGTTTTAAATAATTGCTTCTAGCTGTGTTGATTCTGCTGTTTTGACGCCGACTACGCTGTTTGTAGACAATATGTCACACGAAAGAAATGTTTATGTGGTGAATATGTCTGGTGAAATAAAATAGTATTTAGCGTATGTGTTACCAGAAGAGAATTTAATTTGTGGCCTAATCCCGTTTGCAAAGCTGTCTAAACGTGTGTGTGTGTGTGTGTGTGAATGTTGCCTAATCCACTTCACACAGCTGTCTAAACGTGTGTGTGTGTGTGTGAATGTTGCCTAATCTACTTCACAAAGCTGTCTAAACGTGTGTATGTGCGTGTGTGTGTGTGTCGATGTGTGTGTGTGTGTGTGTCTGAGTGTATGTCTGTCTGTCTGTCTGTGTCTGTCTGTGTGTGTATGTTTGTGTGTGCGTATGTCTGTGTGTCTGTGTGTGTGTGTGTCTGCGTGTTTGTCTGTCTGTGTGTGTGTGTGTGTCTGTATGTGTGTGTGTCTGTGTGTGTGTGTGTGTCTGTGTATGTCTGTGTGTGTGTGTGTGTGCGTGTGCATCTGAGTGTCTGTCTGTGTCTGTCTGTGTGTGTGTGTCTGCGTGTTAGTTTGTCTGTGTGTGTGTCTGTATGTGTGTCTGTATGTGTGTGTATCTGTGTGTGTGTCTGTGTGTGTGTGTCTGTCTCTGTATATGTTTGTGTGTGTGTGCGTGTGTAGGACAGATCCTCAATAGAACTAAAGACCAAAGTAAATGTCAGCTATCTCTTGCCCCACCACAGGATGCGATAAAATAAAATAATTTATCTAGGAAATGTAAAGTTGAACCCCCTCCCCTCCCGCTGAGAAAAATATCTGAATGCAACACTGCTAACGTATAGGCTGATTAAAAAAACAAAAGAAATAGCAACGGCCCTTTGGGGTATCTGCTGGGAAGAGTGAAACATACTGGTATGACATGAACTAAGGTGAAAGGTCAAGGAGATGTGTAGCCTCAGACCCGAAAACTCCTTCGTGTGATCAAAAATAAAAGATATAAATAGTTTACGTAGACTGCTGTTGGTGACAAGTTTATCGATATGTATCTGCTAATGAAATACTTTGTTACCATTTATTGCCTCAGTATGCGCGTTGGTGCACGAGTATTTTGCCATATGCCTCTTGGAGCACCTGTTTGTGTTATCTTTATACTGATGTTTGCACCCAAAGACCCAGCTACGATCTCCCAACTCACTTTATTTGTCTCTCAGTCTCTCTCTCTCTCAGTCTCTCCTCTACCATAGCCCTGTCTGACTGATTCATGCTCACGTAGCGTGTAATCGTTAGTCATCTGGTCTTCAGCCAATATTCTAATCAAGTCTCGGTGTCCCAGGTTGAGAAGTGATCACAGAGGGAGGCTCGATGAAATTTGGGGGGGGGGGGGGGGAACTCATAGGGCGACGACTATACATTGCTTTTTACTGATTTAATAACTGGTTATAGTCAAAAATATCAGTAGCATATTGTAGAAGTGAATGAAAACCATTCTTAGGAAAGGCAACCACGGAGAGAAAACAATGGACACTTGTAGATTATACATGTTATAGAAGGTTGACCATAATGATAAAAGGACTGATCCATCTTACGTGAATCACCAGGACCTGATGAGAATCTAAAAATGTGAACTCGACAGGTCATGAGTTACTTGGTAGAGCAGTGTATTGCAGTGGCGTTTTGGCTTTATTGGTCACAATATATTGGCGTAACTAGGGGGTGGCGGAGGAGGGGGACGGGACGGGACGCTCCAACTTTATCAGGTGTTAAGGTAACTGTGCCGCTTAAGTGCCATGAAAAAAAAATTCTCACTGATATGGGGATCGTCCATATATTATCTCAATTTACCGTCAATTATGTAAGATTTCTTTTTCTATAAGGGAGGGGGAGGGAGGGCACTTTAACCTATTGAGTGTGGGAGGGGGGGGGGGAAGGCGCACAATGGTTAAGATCTATTTGCTATATAAATTATATTGTTTTTTCTATTTCGTCTAGTGACGATGTGTGTGGTGGGGGCAGTGACCACGAGAAAGATGCCTGAAAGAACCAGGCCTGTCATACTTTCCAAAAATAACTTTCATTCTTCTATCGAATAGGCTACTTTGCTGCTCTATCTACATCCAGGAAACAACCCCCCCCCCCCCCATATGAAGGTGAGCCTAACACTTCACCCTACTCCCCCTCCGTGGGTGTGAAATCATGTATAGATTACTCGCACCAAACATTATTTTACGTTACCAATACAAACTAAATAGGGTGTCGGCGTGGTCGAGTCGGTAAAATAGATGAAGCTGATGACAGCAACTCTTCTAGGAGAGACAACTCTAAAATAAAACAACTGCTGCCTTGTAGTTTGTTCTTGGTGAAGAAGAAGAAAATT